ACATCTTTTCCATCAAATTTTGGTAATGTTTTGACATATTTGTATATATACAAATGGGTTTGCTCATCATCACTCTCCTCCTAACTATGCCTATCTTCTTCCTTCATTTCCATCATTTTAAGTCGGTTATCCTGTCTAATTTGCAACTTCTGAAGTTCAAACTCTTTCTTTCTCCCTTTCTTCTCTCTTTTTCTTTTTTCTTCTGCCCTGACTCTTTCCTTTTCTTTATCTTCTAACTCGAATGGTCTAATTTTCACTTTAATTTTTTCTAACTCCACTGCACTTGCCTGACATTTTTTAATCTCCAAGCCTTAAAAAACACACCTTTTAAAGGGACCATGCACGCTTCCCCCCCACCCATGATTTTACAAACAAATTCTAACGTTCTGCCTTCCAATCCGCAATACTCTGTCCACAAATACTTCCAGACCTGCTGCGTTTCTCCAGCATTTTCTGTATTTAAAATGTATATTTACCGTATGTTTCACCTCTACAGCAATCAAGATCACATGAGTACTTCTCAAACGTATAAAGTCACTTGGCCAGATGTATCTCAGTTTCACTTTGGACGTAAAGGACCTTCCCAAAAGAAAACATGGTTTTTTTCCTCAAAGTACAGGGTTCCAGAACCTCTCTACAGGTGCTCTGAGGGTAGTGTCTAAGTGTACAATCATCTTTAGCTGCCTAATCAATGACCTTGTCTCTATGATAACATCAGAAGTGGAGATGATTGTACAATGTTCAGCATCATTTAAAACTCATCAGAGTCTGAAGCAGTCCATGTCCAAAAGCAGCAAGACCTGGGACAATATTCAGGTTTGGGCTGACAAGTGAAAAATAACATTGGTGCCACACAAGTGCGAGGCAGTGACTATCTCTAACAAGAGAGAATCTAACAATCGTCCCTTGACAGTAGTATAACCAATGCAAATTCCCCCACTGTCACCATCCTAGGGGATACCACTGACCAGAAATGGAACTGGATGAGCCACATAAGTTCTGTGGCTACAAAAGTAGGTCAGAGGCCAGGAATCCTGCAGCAAATAACTCACCTACTGGCTTTCTAAAGTCTTTCCACCATGTAAAAGATACAAGTTAGGAGAGTGATGGAATACCCCACACCTGCCTGGATATGTGCAGCACCAACAATACTCAAGAAGCTTGTCAGTACTCATGACTAAGCAGCCTGCTTAATTGGCACCACATCCACAAACATTCACACCCTCCATATTAGTGACCCTCCACATTACTGCTGAGCAGCACTAATGTGTACCACCTGTAAGATGCAATGCAGAAATTTACCAAGGCTCCTTAGACTGCATCTTCCAAACTCGTAACCACAACCATCTAGAAGGACAAGGGCAGAGATATGGAACAACAGAACCTCCACATTCCCTTCCGACTCACTCACCATCCAGATATGGAAATAGTCACTGTTTCTTCAGTGTCATTGGGAACTCCCTTGCTAATGACATTGTGGCATACCTACAGCAAATGACTGAAGTGGTTCAAGAATGGAACTCATCACAATGTCTCGAGGATGACAACGATGGGCAATAAATACTGGCCAAGCTCACATCCCATGAATTAATAAAAAGAAATCACACCTTCCCCACACAGAAATGTATTTCTACAATATGGAATAGTTTGTTATTCTGCAAAAATGATCTGTCAGTGCTATTTCGTTGGAACATTTATTTGGAGCAACGCGTCATTGATTTTTTTTCTAATTCAACACATTCAAAATTTGTGAATTGCACGTGATCAGCATACTCCAGTAGTTTGTTACAGTCTGTCTGTCTGATCTGTTCATGTCCCTGTTGTTTCCCATTCTGCAGCTTTCTGATGTTGATAGAATATTCTTTTTTATTCTAGTCATAAAAGCATTACGAGCTTATTTAGAAACTAAACTAAAGACAATAGTGCCGGAACACACTTTCTGTGTGGTATTGCACAACCTATTGGTTAAAATTTATTTAATTTTAGGACTGAGGACATTGCTTGCAAGATTGACATTTATTACCAGTCCTTGGTTGCCTGAAAAGGTGCTGATGGGCCACCATCATGAACACTGCAGTAGATACTCCCTGTAAAGATTTGGTGTAAAAGAATGGAGCAGACAAAGGCAAATTGGAGTCTTTTACAAATGTAACACACTTTGAGAAGGCATCATTTCATATTTTAATTGTTCCAAGTACATCGATTCAGTTAGGACCTATAGTTAAAACACTATGCAGAAATGCATATTTGAGCACCTTGTCAAATGCAGTTGCATATATTTGATGGCAATACAGTTAGCTCACTTAAAGAGCTGACTTATTTGTCCATTTCTTCCATTGCCTTTTGTGAGGAGACAGCAGATCTGCTTTCTGTAATCTAAATTTCATTTCAGTGTTTATTAATATTGTACATCTCATCACTACACCCTGAAGACAAAATGAAATTCTTTTCTGTTTGCTTTCTTACGATTTTACTTGATGCTCGTAGACGACGAAACATCTTGACATTGAGCTGTTTACTTGATACCTCCTGACAACAAGGACTGCCAAATTTCCAAATCTATCTGAGGGGGTCTTTAAGTTGATCATAGAATTTTTATGGGCTTGTGAGTGGAGCCTTCTTGCCATTGGGTGCCACTGTGGCATCTGTGAATTGAGGAAGCACCAGGAAGAAATTTTAACAAATCAGTTTGCCTTCACTGAGTCACAGATTACTAAACACGATGTAACAAACAGGAAATATAAATTTCATTTTAATCATGTGAAAGAAGCTGATTAAATAATTATATATAAGTTGACAGTGCAGTGCTGAATGAGGGACTGCTGTGAAATTGGAGGTGTTGTCTTTCATCTGCTGTCTAAGTTGGACATATTACAGCACGTGTCACAAATAGATAGGAATCTCTCCAGGTATTCTGGCCATTTCTATCCTTCAAAAACATTGCTCAGATTACCTGTTTATTGTTATTGTTCATATTAACTGTTGAGTTTCCTTACATTAGGGCAATGTTACTTCAAAAGTACTTTGTTGAAAGTGCTACACAATAAACAATGAGACAAGAAAAGTCAAGCATACAGGCTGTAAAGGCTAAGAAACATTGAAACTGAGTCCTGTTGAAATGCCTATACATAAGGAACATATTTTCATTGAGCTCATAAAGACACGCACTCTACTACATCAAACACTTCAATACTTTAGAAATCACCAAAATTGCAAGAACCATCCCTTCAAGTTGCAACATTGCTGCGAACGCAGAGTTTCAACCCCTTCCCCCAATCTCAAAAGGTTCATTGAATCTGTATTTTAATAATGTACTAAGTCATAAACACTGCTGCTAAATGGTCGCTTTACCACTGGAGCCTAATTTTTATGTTTGTGCAATGTTAATATTTTCCAGTATGGTAACAATTCCAGCATTTTATACAAAATTTAATTTTATGATGTTTCAACATCCAATATAAATTTACAGAACTGGTTTGCCATCAGTGAGAATTCTTCAGTATGATTGACTGAATACGCAACTTGATGACATTAGTGTTGCTGGGTACCTGGAGATCATCTTGATTTGATCCCAGAGTGCAATTAACCCCAAGATAGATGCCACAGAAATTGCAAGATCTTTGTATATTTTTCTTTTCAAGCCCATCAATGAGAACTGCCACTTCACTGCTTAGTACAAAATCCAGACCATTATTTTCATTCAGAAAGGAAATTATAATATTTTGCCTATATAGTATATATTACTGCTATAAATTATGGTTTGTTTGATTTGATTTATTATTGTCACATGTTTCGAGATACAGTGACAAGAATTTTTTGCATGCTATCCAGGTAAATCATACTTTACATAAGTACATCAGGGTAATAGAATAGAATACAGAATGTACTACTGCTACAGCTACAGAGAAGGTGCAAAGAAATATCAAATAGTAAATTGATGCCTGTGCCGGGTACCCTGCTAGTAACAGTGGGAAATAAACAGCTATTAAATAGAGAAACTCAAACTGACATTCAGAACAAAATTAATTCATAATTTAATTTTTTTTATAATTGAATGAATACACGTGACAATAAATGATTCAAATGTAAAAATACAGTGAGAAGTGTGTACCTTTGCTGTACATACATGGCGTCATTCACATTAAGTTAGAATAAGGTAATAAAAAAAAACTTAAGAGAGTCTAACTTTCCTTTCCACTGCCGCAGTCCCGCTCTGGGCTTTCCAGCCCTCGCTGTGCCTCTGCCAGAGTCCCGCTCCGGGCTTTCCAGCCCATGCTATGCTGCCACCAGCATCCCACTCTGGGCTGCCTCACCGGCTTGCTCTTGCCACCACTGCCTCACGGCCTGCTCTCGTCGACCCACTCTCCTGCTCGCGCTCAATTCGCCGTCACTGCAGGACACAACCTGCATGGTCAGCTCCCGCCACGTGGTTCCCAATCACAACCCAGCTCCTTCCCAACTCCTTAGGTTGGTTGGTAAAAGGGGTGAGGGGGGGATAGAATTACTTAAGAGGGAGAGAGAAAGAGGGAGAAACGAAAGGAAGGAAGGATAAAGAAAAAAGAGAAAGAGAACTGGTGAACAGAGTGGAGCTCCGAATGGAGCAACTTACCCTGCCGCTATCTTGCCAGATGGACACATGTCACAGTCCCTTCAGCATCAGTTGGTGATTAACTCCTTACGTAATAGCATTGTGAGAGGTAGGAAAAGTACTGTTTCCTTTATTTTTTAAAACCAAAATATAGTTTAGCAGAAATAGTCAGAAATAAGAAATTGTTCTTATTTCAGATTTTCAGAATCCACAGTATTTTTCTTTTGTACACAAATGGTTCATCTTATTAATTTGCTATTGACTCTTAAGTTGTACATTAGAGGAATTGCTATCACCTTAACCAGTTGCGTTATCCAGTAACATCAAAGTGATTTTTGGAGTTCTTTACTTTATACTGAAGTTATTTTGCTTTTGTGACCTACCAGCATATAACCCAATTCTATGTTTATAGCAATAGCATGGTAGCAGATTTCTATCGCTGGGAAAATCGGACCATTGGTGTCAGAACTGTGATACAGGGATACTACTCTCTCAATAACTTCAATAACATCCTTAACAGTTTTGGTGAGTAACTTTTAAGTGTAATATAGTTAAGCAAGCAAAAAGGTTATAAAAATAATCATGTCTTTTTTTTTCCTTTTTTACAGTAACATTGTTTGAGTTGACTGTTGTAAACAATTGGTATATAACTATGGTGAGTTTTTTTGAGATGAAGTGTCTTCTCCAAAGATAAGGCCTATTCCACTGAATTACTTCTTAATCGCAAATGTATGTAAGAGAATCTAGCTGCAGCTCTCTTTCCACAGGAAGGTGTGGTATCTCAGACTACAAGCTGGAGTCGCATTTACTTTATGACTTTCTATATTGTAACTATGGTAAGTAAAGGTGCCTACCATTGTTTCAACCTTCCACAGTATTTAACTGTATAGCATTTAAAATTTGTCATTTTAAAACTGTTCATTAATGAGTGGGAGGATGCAGTAGTTTAGTGGAATTGTCACTGCACTGGTAATCTAGAGGCTAAGGCTGTGGGTACCCACATTCAAATCCCACCACAAACTGATGGAATTTAAATTCAATGAAGCTAGTCTCAATAAATGGTAATTGAAACTGTCACCAATTGTTTTAAAATCCCATCTGGTTCACTAATGAAGTCTGAAGGAAATCTGCCATACTTGTCTGGTCTGGCCTCCATGTGATCCAGATCCACAATAATGTAGTTGACTCTGAACTTGGAAATAGCCTAGTAAGCCATTCCAGTGCACTTGAGGAATCCCTTGCTAGTGATGCCTATATCCCTGGTTATGCAATTTCCCACCGGCAGGACACATCCACCAGAGGTGATGACACTGTAGTATACATCAGATAAAACACAGGCAAGGAAACCTCCTGTTGAATACCACCTCCTGTCCCCCTCATTGATAAATCAATACTCTTCTATATTGAACTCTTATTGGAAGAAACACTGAGGCTGGCAAGGGCACAGAATGTATTTCAAATTGGGGAATTTCAATATTCCTAACCAAGACTGGTTCACTAGAATCATTACCTTGAGGAACGATTACAGGGATGTCTTGGGAGATGTTGAAGTGCTGAACAGGCCAAGGACAAAGTTCAGAGCAGGAGCAAGGTGGAGAATTAAAATGACATGCATCTGGAAGCCTGAGGTCAATGTTGTGAACTGGACAATGGCGTACCGCAAAGCAGTCACCCAGTCTATGTTTTGACTCCTCATTGTAGAGGAGCTGATGGAGATGCACTGGGAAGCGGACAATGGTGTGAGAGATCCATTCACAGACTGGAGTAAAGGAACAAGAAATCTGCTGAAGTTCTGTCTGGTGTTGTGGCTTCAGCATGTGAGCACATACGTGCCTCCATGGACTGGGCGGTGGTCACTGTGGAGAACTAAGTCCACTAGAACAGTCAGTATCTGATAGGTATTGGCTTGGACCTTCATTCCATTATTCAAGCCGTGATTACTTTGATTCACTGGCTAGGTGAGAAGGGGACAAGAAAATCCATTCCAGCTGCCCAGTACCCTCAATGAGTGAGAGAGGCCATTGTGCACTGGTTTCACAGTCAGGTAAACCAAATCCTGAATCTTTGATAGACTCCTTCCTCTCCCTCCTTTGCTGCTGTCTATATACCTGGTGGCAAGGGCTGTGTCCTCACAATAGTGAGGCTGTGTGAGATATTATGTGTATGCTTTGATACCCATGCAGACACGGGGAAAATGTGCAGATTCCACACAGATAGTCACCCAAGGTTGGAATTGAGCCCGGATCCCTGGCACTGAGACAGCAGTGCTAACCACTGAGGTACTGTGCTGCCCCCCACTCCACTTCGGCTGACGAAGTGCTTCCTGACATCCTTGGATGGATTGGTTCTAATTGTAAGTTACTGTCACCCTGTTCTGGACACTCTGTTTCTCTCTGCTTCTTTTCCTTTTCTTTCTCACTCTCTCTCTCCTCCACCCTTCCCACACGCTTTTTTTTGTTCTGTCTCTTTTTTCACGTTATCTTTCTTTTCTCGCTCCCCATCCCCACCACAGGAAATGAGTTCTCTCACTTTACACCTTCAGTCATCCCAATTAGATTATCCTTTCATATTTTAAAGAAAACAAGCCAAGGTTTAATTCAAGGTACCCTATCTTCACAGTTTAGACCTTTCCAACCTGTTAATCATTCTGGTGAATCTGGTGCCTGCAAAATAAATTTCCTGCTGTGCACTGCATCCTGTCACTGAGGGGTTCTTCCCAGAAACCCGGTGTGGCTTCTGACTATCCTGGGACACTGCAGACTTGGTCTTCGTGGCTAGGCAGATCCAGGAAAAATGTCAGGAGTTAAGTCTAGAGTTGTTTCGCCACTTCATTGATCTGACCGCGGTGTTTGACAGTCCAAACCGTGAAGCTCTATGGATTGTCCTCCTCTGCTTTGATGTCCATTGAAGTTTGTCACCATCTGAGACTACTGTGTAACAATGTACGTGCCACTGTGGAAGGTCTGAAACTGAGACCTTTTACATCCACATCAGGATCAAAACACATTGTGTGATTGCCCCCACCTGCGTATCCTTATTTACTTCATCTGAGAAAATCTACCACCTGGTGTTAGCATTCCGGTATCAACTTTGGTTACTCCTGGGAAAAAACAAAACTCACCAACGTGGACATTCGCAACCTTGAGTTTGTAGATAACTGCTGCATGATGGCCACTCTGCCCAGGACAGGATGAAGACTTTCCCTGGGTCAGTTCAGCATACCCTGTAACATCTATGCTGATGGGCTGGCTCTGGAGTTTGTGCAACACTTCCTCTCATGAGGAGCTACTATCAATAGAAAGGTTCAGCACAGAATCAATAGTATCTGCGCTGCCTTTATCAAGCAGCAACCACATGTCTTTGATGACAGAAACCTGTGGAAGTCAGTAAAGATTCTGGTCTGTAATGTTGTTATGTTGATGAACTTCCTGTACTGCAGTGAAAACTGGACTGTATACCAACATCTCATTAAGATCCTTGAGAGCTTTTGCCAGTGGTATCTGCATCGAATCCTAGAGATAAAATGGGATGACATACTGGACCAATGTGGGTGTCCTGCATGAAACTGTCTACCAGTATCAAAGCCTTGCTCCTGAAGAACCAATTCCAGTGGATGGGCATTAGCATCCAGTTGTCCAGAAACTTCTTCCTCCTTCTCCACCCTGCTGTCCATTGGTCCCACTTTCAGCATTAAAGCCTTTGATAAGGTTCTGTATGACAGATTAATTAGTAAAGTTAGATCATGTGAGATTCAAGGTGAGCTTTCCAATTGGACTAGAGGAGACAGAGAGTGGTGGTGGAGGGTTGTTTTTCGGACTGGAGGCCTGTGACCAGCAGTATTCCACAGGGATCGATGCTGGGTACACTTCTGTTTGTCGCTTATATAAATGATTTGGATGAGAATATAGGAGACATGGTTAGTAAGTTTGCAGATGACATCAAAATTGGTGGTGTAGTGGACAGTGAAGTAGGTTATCTAAGATGACAAAGAGATCTTGATTCGTTGGGTCAATGCGTTGAGGAGTGGCAGATGGAGTTTAATTTGGATAAGTGTGAGGTATTGCATTTTAGCAAGACACACAAGGGCAGGACTTATACAATTAATGGTGGGTGCAGGTAATATTGTAGAACAGAGAGACCTACGGGTTCAGGTGCATAATTTTTTGAAATTTGCGTCCCAGGTAGACAGGGTGGTTAAGAAGGCATTTAGCACGCTTGCGTTCATTGCCAGTCCTTTGAGTATAGGAGTTGGGATGTCATATTGAGGTTGTACAGGACATTGGTGAGGCCTCTTCTGAAGTACTGTGTGTAGTCTGGTCGCGCTATTATAGGAAGGACAGTGTGGTTGGTTGGCTCGCTGAGCTGGTTCGTTGTTCCTTGTTCATTGGAACAACGAACCAGCTCGGCGAGCTAACCAACCACAACATCCACAACCTGAGCTACAAATCTACTCTAAAACGTGAGAAAGGACATTATTAAACTGAGAGTGTTCAGAAAAGATTTACCAGGATGTTACCGGAAATGGAGGGTTTGAGTTATAAAGGAGAGGCTGGATAGGCTGGGACATTTTTCAGTGGAATGTAGGAGATTGAGAGGTGACCTTATAGAGGTTTAAAAAATCATGAGGGGCATAGATAAGGTGACTAGCAAAGGCCCTATCCCAAGGGTGGGGGAGTTCAAAACTAGGGAGCGTACCTTTAAGGTGAGGGGAGAAAGATTTAAAAAGAACATGAGGGGCAACTTTTTTACACACAGAGTGGTTAGTGTGTGGAATGAACTGCCAGAGGAAGTGATGAATGCAGGTATAGTTACAATGTTTAAAAGTCATTTGGATAAGCACATGAATAGTAAGTATTTGGATGGATATGGGCTAAACATAGGCAGGTGGGATGAGTTTAGTTTGGTAACATGGTCAACATGGACTAGTTGGACTGATGGGTCTATTTCCTTGCTGTATGACTCTATGGCTGCTTCACGCAGCAGTAGCATTGCATAAGCATGCCCTATGACCTGTTTATCTTACATAGTAACATATTGGAAACATCCTACCCATATGTGCATGGATTACGCACCAGCATCATGAACCAGAGTAATGGGAGAGGGTGATAGCTCTTGTCACCAGTCCTTCTGGTATGTTATGGCGTCCCAGATGTACTACACAGAATAAAGGTAGCATGACTACTTCCAAGATAGCAGGCATTGTCCTGATTAGTATACACTGAGGGATTGGAACCCCTTACAGTTGTTGCACATCTCTAAATTTACGTGTGGTGTCCACAGTGCAATGTGTATGTAATTAGTGGCACCCTGCATGTCAGGAAAGCATGCTGAGCTGGCAAAGACAAATTGGTCACCTTCATTCTCCCTTTGAGTAATGCTGCTGAGTTTTTCCTTCCTGCTGCTGAATGCATATTTAGTGTTGGCAAAGACTGGAGCATTGAGATTGAAAATGTCACCAAATCAGCATTTTGCGCTGATTGTCATAACTTGTCTACCCTTCCTTATTTTCAATGGGCATTCCTAATGGCTTTGTGTAATTATTTCTTAATTAATCTAAATAGGATTTTTTGCATAACAATCAGATGTAACTTATCTAATTTTTTTTAATCCTATTTAGGTTGTACTGACTATTATTGTTGCCTTTATTTTGGATGCATTTCTGTTCCGCATGAACTACAGTAGAAAAAGTAAAGATGAGGGAGGTATGTGTCATCCATATGAATTTCCATTGCTGATATTTTCTTCTTGCTCTGTCCCTCAAATGTTTTATCTTTTAATTTAATGTTTCTTTGTCCAGTTTTTGTTCTTTTAATTGTGATCAGTTATTACCAAAGATTGGTATTATGGATCATGTTCTTATTTTGTCATTTTTGTAACTGTTTTTATGTATTTTGTATTCTGATCTTTCACTGATAACAGATGAAAATGGAATTGTTTTTGAGACTGAGGTAGACAAAGATGAAATTGATAGACTTCTTGAGTTTAACAAACAGAATGGTTCTCCATCTTCTGAGATCTCTGGACTTTTCAAATTGTCATCCAGAATGGCAAGCAATGATGTAAGTGGTTATACATGAACAAGTCTCTCTTCATATTCTGTTTAACTTGAGTTTTAACAATTTCTTATTATACTTTAATTTTTAAATGTAGGTAATGCCATTTCTAAACCTCCATATCCAGGCTGGTTAAGGGTACTATTTAGGCATCCACAGATTTTTGGGTTTTTTTGTATCAGTGGTTTGGGGCATAGAGTGTTCCTTATTCTGATATTATTTCATGTCTTTGTCTCTGTAAGACAATCAAACAACCTGAAAATAAATATGTACACCGTGTTATCTCAGATTCTCCAGCATCGGCAGTTCCTACTAACCTGAAAATAACTATATTCTTTTCAGCCTGTGCACTGTCTCATTCACCTGACATGGGTGTAGCATCATATTTTGCATGTGTTAACTTTGAAATAATTAAGAGCTATCATCACATATTGAATATTCATGAAATTAAGGATTTGAACAGATATATAATGTCATAGTGGTCTAGTCTAATGCACCAATAAAAGCCCGTCAGTCCATCGAGCCTGTACTCGGCAAAACCGATCACCTAGTTATTCAAATCCTATTTCCCAGTACTTAACCCATAGCGTTGTATGCCTCAGCATCGCAAGTGTACGTCTAAATACTTAAATATTATGAAGGTTTCTGCCTCTACCGCCCTTACAGGCAGTAAGTGCCAGATTCCTACCACTCTCCAGGAAAAATTTTAACATGCTCTCTAAACCTGCCACTTAATGTAGTCTATTCCCCCGGACATTAATCCCTCACTAGGGAGAAATATTTCTTCCTGCCTCCCCTGTCTATGCCTCTATTAATTTTATACATCTCAATCATTTCCCACCTCACTGTCCTCTGCTCCAAGGAAAATAACCCCTTTCTATCCAAAGTAAAACAAAGAACTGCGGATGCTAGAAATCTGAAACAAAATCAGAATTTGCTAGAGAAACTCAGCAGATCTGACAGCATCTGTGGAGAGAAAGCAGAGTTAACATTTTGAGTCCAGTGACTCTTCTTCAGAACTAATAGTAGCTACAAGCAGGTGGTGTTTGTACTGAAGACATATGGTTGCAGGTGTGGGAGCGAGTAGGTAGGTGGAGACAGAGCCCAGAGTGACAGAAAGACAGTTAGGCTGTAAAAGGGATGGATAATGATCAGCCAGGGAGAAAAGCTGAAGTGAGGACCATAAATAGATGAAAATGGGTTGGCTGTGTTGAAAGCAGCCTATGTAATGACAGGCCTGGAGTGTGAGAGTGGATAAAAGGACAGAGAGGAAGGTGAACTCAATATTGAGTCCTGAAGGCTGCAGGGTTCCTAAGTGGAAAATGAGATGCTGTTCCTTCCAGCTTATGCTGAGCTTCGCTGGAATGCTGCAACAAGCCCAATATAGAGATGACCATGATGACCATATAGGGACCATGATGTGTTGAAGTGGCAGACAACTGGAAGCTTGGGATCGCTTTTGTGAACAGAACATAGGTGTTCTACAAAACTAGACTGAAATGGAGGTAAATTGCTGCTTCACTAGAAGGTGTGTCTGGAGCCTTGCACAGTGGTCGAGGCGTGGACCTCTCAAGAATCTTCCCACAACACCATGCAATCACAGAAGGTCCAACACTTAACCACTTACTTCCTCCCTCTTCATTATCCAAGGGTCCAGACACACCTTCCAGTTGAAGCAGCGATTCACCTGTACTTCACCCAATCTAGTCTACTGAATTGGCTGTTCACAATGTAGTCTCATCTACATTGCAGAGACAAAACACAGACCAGAATACTGCAACGCAGAACCCGTACATTTTGTGCAAAAATGAAGCAACAATCCTGAGCTTCCAGTTGCCTGCCATGTCAACACACCACAGTGTTCTTTGGCCAACATATTTGTCTCGAGTCTGGATAAACAGCATCTCATTTTCCACTTAGGAACCCTGCAGCCTTCAGGACTCAATATTGAGTTCAGTAATTTTAGGGCCTGTAACCTACCTCTATTGTCCTTTAACCACCCCCATACCCCTGGCCCTATCATGACATGGGCTGCTCTCAGTACAGCCAACCCATTTTCATCTGCTTGTGGTCCCCATTATTATCATGACTTAGCATTATCCGTTCCTTTGTCTGCCTAACTGTCTTTCTGTCCCTCTGGCACTGTCTCTATCTATCCATGTATTCCTTTACCCTCAACTCCCCTGTCATCCTCAGTATTTATACCACCTTTTCTGAGTTACTATCAGTGCTAAAGAAGGGTCACTGGACTCAAAATGTTAGCCCAGTCTATCCAATCTCTCTTCGTAACTAAAACCCTCCAGCCCCGGCAACATCCTGGTAAATCTCCTCTGCACCCTCTCTAGTGTAGTCACTTACCTCCCAAAATGTGGATTCTAAAACTGCAGACAATACTCTAGTTGTGGCCTAAGCAACATTTCATACAATTTCAGCATTAAGTCGCTGCTCTTAAACTCTGGATCTCAGCCAATAAAGACATGTATCCTATATGCTGCCTTAACCACTTTATCAACCTGTCATAATACTTTAAGGGACCTGTGTATATGCAAACCTAGGTCCCTGCAATCCTCATTGCCTACCATTCATCATTAATTCCCTTGCCTTTTCTGTTCTGCACAAGTACATCATCGCACACTTATATCTGTTTACCACCAGGTGGCAGTTTTAGTACATGTTTCATACACAGTTTGACACATGGCGTAATCATGACCAGCTTTCATGCATAAATTATTTTCAACTTTTGTAGTGTATCAATGACTGTGGAACTAGTTTAGTTTGGGAAACCTGGTCAGCATGGACGAGTTGGACTGAAAAGTCTGTTTCCGTGCTCTATGATTGCATGACACCAAGTTCTGCAGACACAGAGTCTCAAATTCAATCCTTTGTTACTGCTCACTTATCCAATTATAGAAGAGGCACTAGAGCACTTCAACAGGTCATGGGATAGAGGAATCAAAATAGAGTTTCTGCATGTGAACATTATCTGGTGGTCTCTGCTGCAAGTATTGTGAGGAAAGATGCATCATACCCTATTCTGTCATGGTCGAATAGTTTGCTTCTGCATACTGTGTTGGCTAACTCATGAATAATGGTCATTTTTGATGAGGCAATGGCAGGTGACAAGTATTCTTGGAAGTGTAGAAATTTTCAGTGGAAGAGGAAGGAAAGGAAAGGGAGAAATTTGTGGGAAAAAAGTTAAAATTCTTGAAAAGTGTACAAATGTGGTGTATTTAAAATCTCAATCTTAATCCTATCAGATATAGAATTCAAAGAAAGCTAAATATAATTATATTTTACGCATAATAGTTGCGTAGTTGATTGCTTCCCTTACAAATATTTTATACAGGCTCTGAGGGAAAAGATGTGAATGGCCCATACAGCCTTTTCTCATCCCATTCTACCTACTTATGACATTAGTTTGATTCTATAGAAGTCCATAAGGTGAGCACTGGAATTAAGCCATCACTCAGTAAGGAACAGGTAATAAATCCTGGTCCAGCCGGCAATGCCCACATCCTTTAAATGAATTTTTAAAAAGAGGCAGAATGAAGGCCAAAGAATATTCTATTGGGTTACTTGTATAAGCAACTTACTACCCCCCATAGAATGGTATTTATGGGAGCTGACGTAAAACCAGTTGGACCCTTATGTTTGTGCTTATAATATTAGATGTATAGGGGTCAGTTAGCTCAGTTGGCTAAACACCTGTTTTGCAATGCAATCTGATGCCAACAGTGTGGGCTCAATTTCTGCATTAGCTGAGGTAACCATGAAGAACACTCCTCCTCAACCTCTCCCCTCACCCGAGGTCTGGTAACCCATAGTTCAATCACTTCTTTTTAATGAGAGAGCAGCCCTGTAGTCTGGTACAACTATGGCAACTTTACCTTTCAATTTTACATATATCCAGAGAGAAGGAGAAGGAGACAAATAATTACTAAGAACATTAAGCAGCATCTAACTATGCAGCTTCATTTTGAAGGGAACTTTTAAACCACCAAAAATGGTGGATTTAAGTTAAGCGGCATATAAAGTTGAAAAATAAAAATCTGTAATTCGAGCCCAAACTACCTACCTCCAATTTTACAGCAATGCAGGAGTTGGGTCGTTCATTAAGATATAATAAACTGTATACCTCAAAATTAGCCATCTGTTAAAATTTAACCCTTGTTGGCTAAGTTTCCTGGCCTTTGGACTACCCAAAGGCCAATGGAGCCTAAATACAGCTTCATTCAGGGAGATTTGCTTACCAAAAATAGAAATTGCTGGAGAAACTCAGCAGGTCTGGCAGCATTTGTGGAGAGAAAGCAGAGTTAACGTTTCAAGTCCATTGTCCTTTGTTCAGAAGTAGAACAGAAGGGTCACTGAACTCGAAACGTTAATTCTGCTTTCTCTCCACAGATGCTGCCAGGCCTGCTTAGTTGCTCCAGGTATTTCTGTTTTCATTTGTTTCAGATCAGCATCTTACACTGTTCTTGGCTTCGTACAAGATTCACTTATCTGCTGAACCTAGATGACGCAGCTAATCAAACATCACACCCAACCCTGAGGCAGACGTCTACCACTGCCAATCCTTCCGATCTTGCCCCACCTGTCTGTCTGCAAGGCCTCTGATCACATCCACCACTCTTCCAATCCCCTAAGGCTATTTCTATCTTTATGACCTCTCTTCCCCAAGGATGCAGATTTTCTCCACCACTGATTGTTTTGGTCCTCCCATCAAAGGCGTTAGATTTTTTTCCCCATCTAATTTCCTCTTCAAAGCTTTAGTCACCAATCACCTCCACCACCATGCCTTCTAATCGATCCAAAACTTCCCTACCTAACCGTCCCACCAAGGGTCCTGCTCTTTGTATATTCTCCAAAGTGTCCGATCTATTCCACCACCAATGTTTCTAATCCCCTATGACGTCTGATCGTGAACGCTGAAGCCATTCCACATACATCCCTCTTCCAACCCCAGCATCCCAAGGTCTCTGATACATCCTGTCCTCCTCTACACTCTTGGCCATGACCTTATATCAAAAGCCTCATCTGGTTTTCCATCCTGACCAGGAAACCAAGGCAGAAATTATTAACCAATTCCTTCAGTTGGAATTGTTAGGATCTGAGAGAAATGTATTCATACGCATTTCCCAGACTCATTATACCCTTCCCACCTACCACACCACTTCCTCTTTGCCTCTGAGCAAATATTCTATGTATTGCAAGTCAAAAGCAACTTGTTTTTCAACAGGACATTTAAGCTTCAGCTTCATGACATGAAAACTGTTTCTTGTTTTATTACAGCAGATTAAAATGGTTTTCATTGGCAGAAGATTAAGAACTAAAAGTGATCTAAGCATTAAAATGTATGAAGAGGAAATTCAGGTATGAAAACCTTTACAACGATGTACATTCTTACGTTTACCAAATAGACAAATCCATTTAGATAACTTAGAATGTATTCAGAGTCAAACACTTATGCAAAATTGTCCACAAAACATATTCCTGTAAAAAAAAGCTTCTTCATAAAGGGAGGAGGTCAAGGATAGCAATACCATTGCTTTTATAAATGGAAGCTACTGACTAGGTATATTATCAACAAAGGAGGCATTCATAAGTTAAGTTCTTATGATTTGTTTGTAGAGTGTAATTTGCACCTGAATTTTTTCTCATGAACGCTGAAATATATCAAAGTGTATGAATTATTAATTATGCTGCATATCTGAATACATTAACAAAACAATTATACTTAACACTTCAGTTAAATGCTGATTATTTTTTTGTTTGCTAATACTTGCCCCTCATTGTTCAGCAATAAAAATGTCTCCCCTTCCAACAGGAATGGTTTGCAGAGCATGCCCGCGTAAACCGAATGCAGCATGATCAACCACTTGAATGTATCTTGAACTCGAGCACTCACCTGCCTTCTACAGAACTACGACAGCGATCACAGACTGTAACTTAGGAACATAACATACAAATCCACTATGCAATAATTATTCAGTGTTACTATATATTTTGTGATTTGCACACATGCACTTGGAGATGTTTCACCAGTTGTAAGAACTACGGTGTTGGCAGAATCCTGGCAAGGGCTAGAATAGTGAAAGATAGTGCCCATTTTATTGAGAAATTTTATGATAACTTTTATCTGTGATAAGTTATCTGTAACATAGTAAGTCTTCTAATTGTATTTGTAAAATATGTCAGCGTTATTTTAGATTTATTTCATTGTTAGCTTTTTTACAGCATTCATTTGATACCTGGCTTGCACAAGTGCTGTCTGGATAGCTACTCTCCAAACGTTAATATAATATCTATCCATTTGGCACTTTAATTATTTGTAGTAAATCAGTTCTCATTGTTTGATTCTATTCATAAAATGTAATGTTCTTGTAAGAAGCACTGTCTCCTGCTTGACAAAATCCAATTCCCAAGGTTATTTCTATTTGTAAGCCATAGTGTTAAATGCAGGGAGACAAGTGAAAGTATTAATGGAACATTAGCATGGTAATGTAATGATTTCAGATAGAGTCACCAATACACTTGGGACATTAGACTAAAAATTCAATTCTTGCTATTTTCCACTGGAAACTTAATGGTCTTGATACTCAGTTTACTTTTAACTACTGCAGGCATCTCCTGGCTTAGGGTGCATATACGTTATTTAAAATGTGTCTTCAAATTATGATGCTTCTCTGATTGGAGTAGGCCATGTTATTTGCTGAATTCTGAGCAGTACCAAACTTAATATTTGTTTCTTCTTCAGAGAGGTTTGATATCAGTTCGGGCTGAGGCGTGGTGACCCTCAGGTTAAACCATCACCTGTTATCTCTCTAATGAGGGAGCTGCCCTATTGTCCTCTGGTACTTTGCCGACTTTACCTTTTATATATCTATCACCCAAGATTCTTATTTTACATATATAAAAAGTAATGCTTTCTTGAACATACTGTATTTTAGTGAAACTGAAGACTCTACTGATATAATGTTTTTATGAACAGGGTGCCATTTCAAGTTATCAAAGTGAGTGAGATATAACATGTAAATCTGTATTAGTTACCTAGTATTTGAGTGCTGTGAGACAAGGACCTGAATCTTCATCTTCGAGGTGCAAGTCATAAGTCAAATCATCCCTAACCTCACTATACCACATCTTGCCCAAGTTACCGATTTGCCACCTCCAAAAACAGGCAGATGCTGAGGCAAGAGGTTCAGAAGACCTACTTGCAGTTTCTGGAGACATCAGTCCAATTCAGTAAATGTGTGTGGCCTCTGGCACTCACTCCCTTTCCATTAAATTCATGCCCCTTCCATGCCCATTATGTCCACTCACCCACCGCTATATATCCTCATCACCTAAACCCATTTCAGAATCTCCAAACCCACTCATCCAATATTCACTATGTGCAGAACTCAAGCCCTTTAATAAAATTGGACGTATTTGCAGTGCTCATAAAACTATCAAAAAATCTGTCTGCTTGACAGTTGTGTCAACATCCCTACTGACCTGAAACTATTATTGTGGTTTGGAGCTCTGCCAAGTATTCATTATGACAAGCCATTGAAAATTTGTAAAATAAATTCTAAGGTTGAACATGTTAGAACCCGTGCAGTTATTGAAAGCGCTCAATCATCTGTTCAAACTTTGAAGCTGAGGAGCAGATGTCTAAGTTTTCAATCAGAAAGCTTGTGCATCTGTACGTGCTTAAAGCTTAAAGGCGCAGATATACTAACGATGAGTCAAAGGAGCCCAAGCATCTGCTCAACCTTAAAAGCATGGAGACAGATGTCTGTACTTTTAGTTAATTAAACAATTAAATTACATTAGACCATTTACACAGTCAGATCTGATTGTCAGTATTGCAAAGTGGAAAAGAGCACTTTATCCACAGCATCATGGACTCTAATGCATCTGAGGACTTTTCTACTTTCACAGCAATGGTCAATTTAATGGTCACTTACCTTTTAAAATATTAAACTTCTAATATTGCGTTATGCCACGTGAAGTTGCCACTATGTTTTGAACTTATCTGTCAAGAGGTTCCCAACTCCAGGCCAGGGATTTTCCGTGGTTCACAACTTTTATGAGCTGTTGTGAACCATGTTGCCTTTAGAAATTCATACAAATCATGAATAGTCCAAAATGCCCAGCCTGAAGCCACCAAAGTTAGTTATTCTACATGCAAATTTGTTATCTATACCATCATCCCATGCCGGTAAAATTATTGGCAATAGCTAAGTGGACGGGAATCCTGGAATTGGGTCCTGCCCCCCATTTTGAAGCCTCACCCATTTCCATTACAATACTGATAAAAGCATGGAAATCCTGCCCAAGGTATTTCTTATGACTATTGTAAATGTTTTGTTATATAGAAATCAAAATTACAAACTAAGATCAATCTTCTACGGTCCAATCTGGAAGCATTGAAGGGAGAGAAATCTTCCCTTTGGTCAAAAATAGGCTAATAGTGCCTCTTTTGGAAATGGAATGGCATTTTGAAGTTTTGATTGATTTAGGGATTAGAAATATTTATACATGGAATTTTCTCCCAAGTTTCCAGATGTTCATGACTCTTCAGATTAAGCCTGGTCATTCTATAGACTAAACATGATGTAATTTCCCATTCCCTTTCGTAATCTTGGAAGTTAGTGGCAGTTTTGTTATGAATTAATAAGACATGATAAAGAAATGGTTTTTGCATAGTGATCATGCTCAGACAGTTTTACAGTAGTAGTTGTATTGGTTACAAAATTGAAGATTTGCTTGTTGAAAATTTATTGGAAATCTAATAGAGAATAAACAAGAATAATTGAACTCAATTCAATGTACTTGGAAGCTGTCAAAAAAATTGTGTATGATAAGGATCAACATAATATTTAGTATCTTTATCGTTTAGTGCGAAATATAGAAAGAAATTGAATATATGCTGCCACTTTGATTTGGAATTATTCACCAGGATACAAACTAACTGAAACAAGGTGTAATAGTGACCTTCTCGGAGGCATTAACAACTCGAGGCAGAGGAGTTAATTTAAGTGAATCGGGCGGTTTATTACAAACAGTTACCAGTAAATGCAGGGAGAGGAACTCTAGGTAGACACGCAGGAATACCAGACTCACTGATCCATGAGCACAAGTTACAGCTTTTTATACATGGAAATAAATAACTTGTTTAGCAATCATCAGCAGTTTATCTCCACCCGCCTTTCTAGTGTGGTTCCTCCCTAGGGCACATCATGTGCTCTCATTTGAGTTTGATAATTTAATCAGAGTTTGATAGTTTAATCAGCTACCTACTTTGTCAGCTTTTCCAGTCCTATCGACCTGTCTAATCTTGTCAACCAGCTATCTAATGGTCAGGGTACGTGGTCCCGTGGTGTAACTGAAATGTCACAGAGATGTCGGCCATTTCAGCATTGTCAATAAACCACATTGTTCCACCTCACTAAGCTTTGCTTAAGCATATTCAGTCAACTATTTCATGTCTATTCTAGTGCGTGCGTGAGAGAGAGTCTTCAGAGTTAAAAAAAACAAGCAGTATTCAGTAGCAGAGATAGTAGGAACTGCAGATGCTGGAGAATCTGAGACAACAAGGTGTAGAGCTGGA